TCTGGAATACATCACTGTCCACTCTCAATAGAGCCAATGTCAGTGTCATGGTTGGACAGTGTTGTCGGCAGAGTCTGGACATGATCGTTGACTTTATTAACAAGATTCCCCACTCCGGTATTCTTGCACGAAGTGACATCGTGGCCATTGTCACTTGAGAACAGTATGTGATAATATTGACACCAACGTCAACAGAAGACCCAGTCTCTCGTAACAGTCTGAGTACCATAAATATGATCACGCCTTATAACTCCGAGTTGACAGCAACTGTTTTATAACACCATATACTGCTATCACAAGAGAAAGGCCCTTGAGAGAAACGACGCGCGTTGTAGTTCTACAAGGTGGTGTTCTTTAACCCCCGATATTGAACCGGAGTTTATGCGCCAGCCTTTATGGACATAAAATAACAAGAGTAAGATTGACTTCAGTCCAATATATGTTATCGACAATGATAATCTTTACACGAAGGTATTGCAGGCCGATCTACTTGAGGTATCTGTTTGAACAGTGCAGGTGTTACACAGAGTTGTTCGTAACTTCTGGTGCGTTAATGTTATCGTGTCTGACAATCGGAGGGGACATAGACGACAGGTAGGTTTAGATACTGGATATTAGGTGTTCATTTCTGGGTCTGAGAAATTGTCACATTAACTTCCACCTTCCTCCTCTGGGGAGGTGGGGTAGCCTAGTGGTTAAAGCGTCCGCTCGCCACGCTGAAGACCCGGGTTCGATTCCCCACATTGGCACAAAGTGTGTGAAGCCCATTTCTGGTATTCACTGTCGTGATATTGCTGGAATATTGCTAAAAGCGGCATAAAACCATACTCCTTTTCTCTCTCTCTCTCTCTCTCTCTCTCTGGATGAGAAGGAGAATGTTCGGCGGTGTCGTAGAAACTTGGGAGTTATGTGTTATTGAACATATCCCCCACCAACCCATACATACAATATAAACACGCATATCCTCCGAACTTCCAAGTGTGACATTGTTTCCTTACTCTTTGCGCCATAACCCCACCTGGGAAATTGCTATCGATTTATGTTTGACTCGGGAATTTTCTAATTATGTCTAACACATAAAACCACTGACCCCTGGCATCGCACTCAGAAACAATCACGGAGTTAGCCGGTACAGAGCTCAAGACATTGGAGTCGTGGCCGTATATAATTGCTTGCCTTCTTACCTAATTGACCCGTTTTGAAGAATGAAACACCGACTTTTCGTTTGCTTGTAGCAAAGTTGTAGCCATGTTCTGGTATTCCATGTCGTTTATCACTAAATACCCATTTTCTCATTCTCCAAGTATCGGTTTTTTTTCCTCGTTACATCATCAGATATTAATTACCTCATGACCACAGCTTGAGTGAGTGAGTGAGTGAGTTTAGTTTTACGCCGCACTCAGCAATATTCCAGCTATATTGGGTCGGTCTGTAAATAATCGAGTCTGGACCAGACAATCCAGTGATCAACAGCATGAGCATCTTTCCGCGCAATTGGGAACCGATGACATGTGTCAACCAAGTCAGCAAGCCTGACCACCCGATCCCGTTAGTCGCCTCTTACGACAAGCATAGTCGCCTTTTGTGACCACAGTTTGAAGTAAAGCCTCCCTCATAGTCGCATCTAACTGTCTTTTAATCGCACATGCTATATCAATCACAATATCAATCACAATAGCAAGTGTTTTTTTCATAAACCACATATCTAAGTGCTAGTATTGGTTATTTTATAATCCCATCTTAAAGTACTGGTTGTCTCTCAGTCACATCCTCTAGTATTGCTCATTTTATAATCCCATCTTAAAGTACTGGTTGTCTCTCAGTCACATCCTCTAGTATTGCTCATTTTATAATCACATCTTAAAGTACTGGTTGTCTCTCAGTCACATCCTCTAGTATTGGTTATTTTATAATCACATCTTAAAGTACTGGTTGTCTCTCAGTCACATCCTCTAGTATTGTCTCTTATAATCACATCTTAAAGTACTGGTTGTCTCTCAGTCACATCCTCTAGTATGCTCATTTTATAATCCCATCTTAAAGTACTTGGTTCTCAGTCTCCTCAGTCAATCCTCTGATATTGCTCATTTTATCCTCTAAGTAATCCAAGCCTGGTATTTATTGGTTATTTTATAATCACATCTTAAAGTACTGGTTGTCTCACATCTCAGTATTGCATCCTAATCGCATCTTAAAGTACTGGTTGTCTCAGTGCATCCTCTAGTATTGCTCATTTTATAATCACATCTTAAAGTACTGGTTTGCTCTCTCAGTCACATCCTCTAGTATTGGTTATTTTATAATCACATCTTAAAGTACTGGTTGTCTCTCAGTCACATCCTCTAGTATTGCTCATTTTATAATCCCACATTTAAAGTACTGGTTGTCTCTCAGTCACATCCTCTAGTATTGCTCATTTTATAATCCCATCTTAAAGTACTGGTTGTCTCTCAGTCACATCCTCTAGTATTGCTCATTTTATAATCACATCTTAAAGTACTGGTTGTCTCTCAGTCAACATCCTCTAGTATTGGTTATTTTATAATCACATCTTAAAGTACTGGTTGTCTCTCAGTCACATCCTCTAGTATTGGTTATTTTATAATCCCATCTTAAAGTACTGGTTGTCTCTCAGTCACATCCTCTAGTATTGGTTATTTTATAATCACATCTTAAAGTACTGGTTGTCTCTCAGTCACATCCTCTAGTATTGCTCATTTTATAATCACATCTTAAAGTACTGGTTGTCTCTCAGTCATATCCTCTAGTATTGCTCATTTTATAATCACATCATCAAATATGTTGTCAAATGATAATGTTATCGTTATAATGCTTAGTTGTTTCACACACACCCATCCGCACACGCACATCTTTATTGTCTCACTGTTATTGTCATTTCAAAGCATCTCTACACTATACACGTGTATATGGCCACGGTTCATGCATGAGAGAGCGATGGGAGTAGCCCAGTTGTTAAAGCGTTCACTCCTCACACTGGAGAACCGAGTTCGATTTCCTACTTGATACAATGTGTGAAGCCAATTTTTGGTGTCCCCCAGGTGATATTGCTGAATATTCCTTAATTTACGAACCAAAGGCTCTGAGGTGATGCTGTTGTAGTGAGAGAGTGAGAGAGTGAGTGAGTGAGTGAGCAGTCCGATTAATTGTTCAAAGTTTGACGAAGGCTCCCTATGTAGAGTGTGAGTGAGTGAGTACGGTTTTACGCCGCTTTTAGCAATATTCCAGCAAATATCACGGCGGGGTGGGCTTCACGTTGTGTCCACGTGGGGAATCGAACCCGAGTCTCAGCGTGACGAGCGAACGCCTTACCTACTAGGCTACCCCACCGCCCCCGGTGACGTTGTTGTACTTCCAGAAAGCACTCTGCAACAAAAAAAGGTTGCCCTGTACGTCCAAGGAGTATAGGGTTCGCTAACATGTGTTTTAAGATAATTCTGTTGGATATCTTACCATTCTTGCTTGTTAAGACGTAAATCTGGTTCTAAAGCCCTGTTGCCCGACGATGTTAACACGTCTCTTCACAACAAATTCCGCTGTTCAGTTATGTTATGTAAATCATATAATCTGTCTGGTGCGATCGTTTTCGTCTAAATCAACACCATTACAATAAAACCTCCCTCTCTCCATGACACGCGCGTAATACAGCTCAGGGTAATCTCATCCTTAGGCACATGTTCAGACAAATTACTCAAGCCTTGTCCGCTCCATTGTCCACAATACAGGATCAGGGCTTAATATGTTGACATAGTAACTGGAACCATGCATTCGAGCCACCTTATTTCATATCTGAGTGGGTATGGAGTTGATCAAAAGTCAGTTTCTCCAGGTCTGCCAGGCACCAGTTTGTTTTCAGATTTGCTTGACCCTTGATGTGAGAGCGATGTGTAGTTTATTACTTATACAGTGTGTCAATTGCGATCAGGTTGTGGTCGATTTCAGTTTGACTGCCTCTCCATGTCACGGTGATGTGTTGTGTATTGCTTGGACGGGGTGTCAGTTGCAGTCAGATTCAGCTGTCATTACCCATACATAGACGCTGTCACCTTGGTCATTTCACTTGTCTGGTCAGATGTGTACATTAAGCTGTATCTCAACAAGGCTATAGCTCAAACCGTGCATACCAGGTATTTATCGAATTCAATCTTGCATCCCTCGGGCATTGTATCTGGAGATGCATATAGGTAGCTTACGTGTTTAACTCGGTCCTGACCCGTGAAGATCCGGGTTAGAATTGATCTTTAGAAACTCATGCTTGTCGTAAGAGGCGACTAACGGGATCGGGTGGTCAGGCTCGCTGACTTGTCATCGTATCCCAGTTGCGTAGATCGATGCTTAAGCTGTTGATCACTGAATTGTCTGGCCCAGACTCGATTATTTACAGACCGGCGCTATATAACTGGAATATTGCTGAGTGCGGCGTTACACAACAGACAACTCGGGCCTGAGTTTGTTACGACATGTGATGGTGGTGTTAGTATGTCTCTTCCGTGTACATGCAGGCGGATCATCCTCGATCATCTAGGGAAGCATATCTCCTTTCTTTCAGGATACATACCCTGGACCCAGGATCCACCACAGCTTCTTTTTAGCCCGATTGGCACAACGATTAAACAACCGTTCAATTAAATTAGACTCGTAGTGAGAAACATCGTGCCATCAAACATATTGGCATGGTAACGTCATTCCCGAAAAGTAACTTTGGAAGTTAATGTCTTAGCGCTAAGGGGACCGTAACTCCCATACCTTAATACAGACTTAAGGTAGTCTTAGCGATAGGGTGACCGTAACTCCCATACCTTAATATAGACTTAAGGTAGTCTTAGCGCTAAGGTGACCGTAACTCCCATACCTTAATACAAACTTTAAGTAGTCTTAGCGCGAAGGTTGTGTTGTACAACGGCACCCTGGGTATGTATCATAATGTTATTTCTCCAGGAAGGGAGAAGGACTTGTGTTTATTTCTGCTGTCCTTGTTTCAGCATGACGTTCTGGTCCCGCTATGACCCGGTCGCCCAGCCCAAAGGGAATACTGACCACTGGTCGAACATGAAGATAAGGGTGAGTGCAAGCTGCTGTACATTCTATACATAGGGGCGGTGGGTGTTCATTTCTGGGTCTGAGAAATTGTCACATTACCTTCCACCTTCCTCCTCTCTGGCGGTGGGGTAGCCTAGTGGTTAAAACGTTCGCTCGTCATGCTGAAGACCCGGGTTCGATTCCCCACATGGATACAATGTGTGAAGTCCATTTCGGGTGTCCCCCGCCGTGATATTGCTGGAATATTGCTAAAAGCGGCGTAAAACTAAATCTGACTCAATCACGGTTGACCCTCAGAACAGTATTTCTTCTCTAGTACCCTTACCATAAACAGCTGCCCGTCGCTACTCTTATGAACATATTCAGCAACATGTTTGCTTACGATATTTTTTTATTGATCTGAAATCATTTAAATTCATATTTGAATTGGTCGACATAATATAGGGAACTGAACAACGGTTTACAACTCAAATGATGCTTCGTATTTGAACAGTCGGTAACATCTTCATCCATTTTCCAGTAGTATTTGCTTTCAAAACTATACGTTGTCGACATCAACAACAAAACATATTTACCACTCTCTGCCTCAAATCAATATTATTTATCACTGACATCGTATCTTGTTCAGTATAATGTTTTCAGACATGTATTTCCATTTGAACAAAATCAAATTAGTGATAATTTTGTGCAAAGTTAATTGAAAATACTTCAGATGATTTCTAGGTACGCTTAAATATAGACCAGCATCGAATAACGCTTAAGGAAACAGACTGTGTACTTATAGAATGGCGCATACAAATTACCATCTCAATAGCTGTAGAACGCACTTTTCACTCGCGTCAACTGAGACGTGTAGGATTTTACAAAAACACATTCCAGGGTGGAACATTTAAAATCTCTTTGGTTTTGTTAACTTGGACATTAAACAGGTTTAGTGTCAACATTCTGTACAATACCTCGCACAATGCGCGCTTCTTATCTAGATGTTTATCGCTGCTTATGAAATAGACATTATTAACGTGAGCACGTCTTGAAATGCAATAACGTCTGATTGATATACACACTGTTGATAAAGACCATTTCCTCGAGGGTCATGACAGGTTATTACTTGAGTCAAAACTTGGAATTGGCGGAGACTATCAAATGTGTCGGGTCGGGCAGATTTAGAGGACTCGGGGCAGTCTATATATCACTAGAGGTACAGTGTGTATGGATCGGCGTGGTAGGGGATCTACATGTGGGCGGCAGGTAAGTGGTGAATGAATGTAATTTTACGCCGCTGGTACATTTGTAAGACTACGGTAGTCGTACCTCGGCCAGACAATCTGTTGTTTATATTATAAGCATAGGAAACGATCAACGCCGTCGTTGGAACCTCCGATGGTAAACGGTGCACGGTTGTCTCAGTCATTTAACGCGCAGTGATCAACAACTCTGTGGGTGCGGTGGGTAGCCTAGTGATTAAAGCGTTCGCTCGTCACGCCGAAGACCTGGGTTCGATTCCCCACATGGGTACAATGTGTGAAGCCCCATTTCTGGTGTCCCCTGCTGTGATATTGCTGGAATATTGCTATAATCGGCGGAAAACTAAACTCACTCCCTCACGAACAGCTCTGTGCAGAGTTACTTCCCTTGGGCGTGCCAGGAACCTATGATCGAGCTATTTATGTTTGTACGTATGATGGCCCCGTGCTCGTGGGCTTCACCAACCTGGTAAATGTCTAAGACCGGCATCACTTCCTGCTTTCTCCCTAAGGGGCGGCAGTGTAGTCTAATGGTTAAAGCGTCCTCTCGTCACCCTGAAGACCGGAGTTCGAGTCCCCACATGGGTATAAAGTCCATTTCTGGCGCCCCCCGCCGTGATATTCCTAGAATATTGCTAAAAGCGACGTAAAACCATACTCACTCACTCCAACATTATTAGATTACACGTGCGGTTTGAAACACAACCTACCGATTTTACAAAGTATGAAAAAATCTGTCTCAGTTTGAGACAAGCATGATTCAGTGGGGACCATGATTCAGTGGGGGTGATGATTCAGTGGGGAGCATGATTCAGTGGGGGTGATGATTCAGTGGGAACCACGATTCAATGGGAACCACGATTCAGTGGGGACCATGATTCAGTGGGGTCTGTTTCACGCACTCAGGGGTGGTACCCTGGGCCTAAAACGTTGTGAGTAAATGTCGGAACATGTGTTTGTCTTAAAACCATTGTCTCTCTGATGTGTGTTCAAGGTAGGAGTACCCTTGTCTGTTCCCTCCCTGCGTTAAGGGTATGAAACAAGGACTGGTTGGCTAGAAGTCAGTGTGGAGTGTCTGAGTGAGCTAACCGTGTTAAACTGTGGCGGGATATCTGTCCCACACACGACCTGGCCACATAATGATCTGCAACCTTTAACCCCTTTTACCTCACCTCCCATTTCTAGGAAGCAAGTTGATCTTTAATGTTACTTAAAACTTGAGTAGTATTACGACGGTGAACTCATTGAATTTAACAAAATATACCATTTTTTAATTAAAATCTGAATGCTTTAATATTCAGGCTTCCCAACTGTCAGAATGGATTTTGAAGGGTCTTGAAAACATAAAATATTTAGGTACATTGATTTGCATATTTAGGCCAGTAGTCAATGAAATGACAGACCTGTTTAAATGAGGCTATCAATACTCCCAGTGGAGGGGTTGTAAGAATGGGCTTTATATACGGTACCCACAAAATGAATCGTAACTGGGTCTTCGGCGTGAAGAGCGAACGCTCTAACAATCAGGCTATTTTATCTTGTATACATAAGGCCATGAACTACATTTGTCAATTTGAAGGCCGGGCGCATTTTGTCATGGATCAGTGACCTGATGTCCTTGCAAATCTGAACAAATTTAGATCTCAGGCCGCGCATTGCACAAGGTGGTAGCGCTGCGACAAGCACAGTTCTTCTCAGCTCTGGTATGGGTAAGACTGGTTTTGCAACTCAGGCCTGGCAAGCAGAAGTGAGTATACACTAAGATTTTATGTATACATGTATACATGTCCACGCCTGTAGAATATATCCAGATGTATACAGACTGTCTACAGAACGTTGTAGTGTTGTTTATGACCACTTGCTGAGACCACCATTCGAGACTGATCCAGCGAGTGAGCGGGTTTAGTTTTACGCCATCTTAGCAATATTCCAGCAATATCACGGCGGGGACACCAGAAGTGAGCTCATACATTATACACTTGTGGGGAATAGAAGACGTGTCTTTGTCGTGACGAGCGACTGCTTTAACCAGTATGTAGATTACCACACCTCCGAAACAGATCCAGGAATACGCCTATTTGTAGTTTGACGCCACTCTCGATATTTGCAACAATATGACGGCGGTGTAAAATAACTGAGGCTTGATATAATGAGCAACGCTCGATGCTATTGGAATACGATGACATAAATGATCCAGGTCAGCATGTCTGATCACCACATCCTGTTAGTTTAGTTTACATGTAGTTTAGTTTAGTTTAGTTATACGCCGCACATATCAATATTCCAGCTATGTGGCGGCGGTCTGAAAATAATCGATGATTACACAATGCCATTTAGAAATAATCGAGCCGGGACCAGAAAATCCAGTGATCAACATCATGAGCATCGATGTACGTAATTGGAATACAATAATGTGTATCAATGAAGTCTGCGAACCTGACCACCCGATCCTGTTAGTCGCTTCTTATACGACAAGCATGGGTTACTGAAGATCAATTCTAACCCGGATCTCCGCGGGACGCCTCGAAAGAGAAGCATTGGTCGCTGAAGACGGATTGTTCACAAGAAGTTGGGTAGGGGACAGGGGTGAAATGAATATAAATTTTATTTGACATTCTCACTATGAAAATCTATAAAACAAATTACAGACACTGCATAACAACGCACAGATCAATCATCCCATAGACGGATCACGATAAGTGTATTCGTGTGACTTCAGATTACAATCTCTTGTCTCCTCGAACAGACAAACGATATTTAAAACTGCCTCAGTAATAGTTACCCAACGCGGTAATAAATATTGGGAGGAAGCAATAAAACCAGATCGGCCAACACGTACACTGAATGCATCAAACAGATGGAATGTGACACTTTCTCTGTGTTCGCATATAAAGCCTGTGAATTCAAAACTTCGATCAAGAGGAATCTCATCCATTTTGGCTGCACACCCTGTCATTGAGCATTGTGGGTAGCGACTCGAACACTAAGCTTGTACCGTCGATGTAATGTCCAATACGGTGTGTGTCCAGTATAGCATGTGCTCACGGTGCGACATAACTCTCAGGTAGAATTACACTGTGTAGGGGCTTTGTAGCCCATGACAAAGCCTTAGACTGAAATCCGCTCATGAATTCTCAGTTTGTTAAATGTAATCTTTTGTTCCGCTCTATGACTGCCGACAAATCAGCGATCTCCGGGATTAACGATTGTGAGGATTATCCGTTTTGGCAGATTGGTTCCTGAGACCATGAGTGGGAAATTTGTCACTCGTTGAATCATCAATAGCCCTAAGTTACTGTTGTCACGCTGGGCACTAGAGTGTATTGAGGCATGGGAGACTGAAGGGCCTAACGTGGCGCTAGAATATACCTGTCTCCTCGGTGAGTGTTACCAGAGACCATATAATATTATTATATGGTCTCTGGTGTTACACAGATCATGGGAATACTGTCAGCTAGTTGCACTGTAGTCTGTTTACAGAACTTACACAAATACATACCGCCATTGTATAATATTTGGAAAGTCTAGATTACTGCACCAAGAAAGTATCTTCGCTGCTTGTAAATATTCTTCATTTAGATAATTTACGGACTCTGTTTCCTTGAAAATATGTCCATTTTAGAGACGAGATGTTAGTCTACGCGCAGATTCAGCGTTGTGAGAAATACCTCAGTCAAAATAGATAAGCCTCGCTTATTAGATTGTATTTTAAGTTTATAAATTTACATCTGAAAGTAATATCATTCCAAATGTATTCTAGGGGCATTTATATACTCAGGCAATAACCCGTGAAGATCCGGGTTAGAAATGGTCTTCAGCAACCAATGCTTGTCTCCCTCGTGAAGATCCGGTTTAGAATTGGGCTTCAGCAACCAATGGTGGTCTCCCCCGTGAAGATCCGGGTTAGAATTGGACTTCAGCAACCAATGGTGGTCTCCCCCGTGAAGATCCGGGTTAGAATTGGGCTTCAGCAACCAATGGTGGTCTCCCCCGTGAAGATCCGGGTTAGAATTGGGCTTCAGCAACCAATGGTGGTCTCCCCCGTGAAGATCCGGGTTAGAATTGGGCTTCAAACCAATGGTGGTCTCCCCGTGAAGATCCGGGTTAGAATTGGGCTTCAGCAACCAATGGTGGTCTCCCCCGTGAAGATCCGGGTTAGAATGGGACTTCAGCAACCAATGGTGGTCTCCCCGTGAAGATCCGGGTTAGAATTGGGCTTCAGCAACCAATGGTGGTCTCCCCCGTGAAGATCCGGTTTAGAATTGGGCTTCAGTAACCAATGGTGGTCTCCCCCGTGAAGATCCGGGTTAGAATGGGACTTCAGTAACCAATGGTTGGCTCCCCCGTGAAGATCCGGGTTAGAATGGGACTTCAGCAACCAATGGTGGTCTCCCCCGTGAAGATCCGGGTTAGAATTGGACTTCAGTAACCAATGGTTGTCTCCCCCGTGAAGATCCGGGTTAGAATTGGGCTTCAGCAACCAATGGTGGTCTCCCCCGTGAAGATCCGGGTTAGAATTGGGCTTCAGTAACCAATGGTGGTCTCCCCCGTGAAGATCCGGGTTAGAATTGGGCTTCAGTAACCAATGGTTGTCTCCCCCGTGAAGATCCGGGTTAGAATTGGACTTCAGTAACCAATGGTGGTTTCCCCCGTGAAGATCCGGGTTAGAATTGGGCTTCAGTAACCAATGGTGGTCCATTGAGGCTAGTGTGCTTGTTATATGAACTTACGAGAGAGAGCGGTCAGGTTCTCTGACTTGGTTGACACATGTCATCGTATCCCCACTGCGTTTATCGATGCTCACACTGTCAATCACCGGGACTCGATCCAGACTCGATTATTTACAGACCGACGTCATATCGATGGACTATTTATGTATGCAGTGTAAAACAACAAACCAACCAAACAGGTAATACAAATGTGGATGATAGAAGTGGATGTTTCAGTGTAATCGGTAAATACATTCTCGGTGGTCGACACCGGGATGGGAGAACGTGGTTGAGGACCTGCCCACAGATTCCCATTTTATCGAGTAATATAAATGTCTTCTATCATCATTTTCATCTTTTCCATGAAAAGTATTTCTTGGATCACTACCGGCCTGTGTAAATAGCAGTTCATAGAAAACCGTTATGTGAATATGATCAAAGTAAATGGGTAATTTCTTTGAATTTGCCATTACAGTAATAACACTTGGATGAATCCAACAAAACTGATTTCTCTGATTATCATGAATCGCTGTAGTCTACCTGAGCTCCGAATCTGTCACCATTATATATTGATCATTGGCTATATGAAACGCTATCAATAGACTCAAAGGGCCTCAAATATATGCTGTTCTCATACACCGACATTCCCAGGTTCAAGATTCTTCAGGTTGGTTTTACAAAACATCTTTACAAACGTCCTGGGAATTTAATCTGACTCTACTTCTTAATGAATTATTGACGTAGTATGTTTCTTATTGCAGATTTAATTAAATAATCAAGATCGGATCCTTATCAGGATATATGTATAGAATTTGAGTTCGTTTAAGCGCTACTTTGGCAATGCAACCTCTTTGAAAGCGAAATACAGCTATATATCGATCAGCATCCGTTTCTTTACCCATGTATACATGAAAGGATGGAGAGGTTCTTTAAAGCTGTACAAAACTCCCTGGGTGGTTGGTGGTATAACCGCAATAGGGCTATATATCGATCAGCATCCGTTTCTTTACCCATGTATACATGAACGGATGGAGAAGTTCTTTAAACCTGTACAAAACTCCCTGGGTGGTTGGTGGTATAACCGAAATACAGCTATATATCGATCAGCATCCGTTTCTTTACCCATGTATACATGAACGGATGGAGAAGTTCTTTAAACCTGTACAAAACTCCCTGGGTGGTTGGTGGTATAACCGAAATACAGCTATATATCGATCAGCATCCGTTTCTTTACCCATGTATACATGAAAGGATGGAGAAGTTCTTTAAAGCTGTACAAAACTCCCTGGGTTGATGGGAACGGGTCGGTTGTATCAGGACCTGGTGGAGTATCCCTGCTGACTGAGTCAGTACTGTGTGTTGGGGGTATAACCTGAAACACTGACACACCACGTGTACTAGTTATATGTTCATATTGACTTGATATTGTGTTTAGCCAGCACATTGTTTCAGATGCTGTTAAGTATTGATGAAGTACAATGCCACGTGTTATGTTACAGAGCAGCATGGGCAGCCCGGCAGCTGGGCGAGATGGAGGTAGGTCCAGCATCATTCTTTATGTTAGGTGAGGTGAGGTGAAATTGGGTTTAACGTCGTGCTTGAGAATATTTCGCTCATATGACGACGTGCATGCGTGTGTGTGTGTGTGTGTATGTGCGGCTGCTTGTACTAGCCCAGACTTAAACTGGTTTTATAGTGCTAGCCCACTGATATACCATGCCGCAGTGAAGCATGAATACCCTACTCAGACACATTATACTGACTCCGAGCCGACCAGTCCTTGTTGTACCTATTAATGCCGAGCGCCAGACAGTACCATATTTTAACGTCTTTTGGTATGACGAGGTCGGGGATCGAACCCGCGACCTTCCGCTCTCCGGGCGGACGCTCTAACCACTACACCACGGAGGCGGTCTCATGCTTTATGTATTATGTATGCTGTAGTTTTGTACAACTATACCTTCAAGAGTAGACCCGGATGTAGATCCCGGAACGAATGCCCCACCATTCGCTGGTTGTAAGAGCCGACTAATGTGGATCAGGTGGCCAGGCTGGAAAGCCTAATTATTGTTTATTACCATGCCTCGATGGCGTCCTGCTTTCAGTCACTGATTCGCCTGGTCCAGGGTCCCTTTTCACAAAGCTCTCGTAAGCCTAAGATCTCGTAACTCCCATAGCCTACTGTATCATTGAGGTAGGACAGTCCAAAGACATATATACGTCTTTGGACAGTCATAGCGCTACGATAGCTTTGTGAAACGGGGCCCTGATCCCATTACTTGAAGCCTCGTAAGCCTAAGATGTCGTAACTTTTTTCGTAGCATTCGTACTTCCTATACTGTAACATTGACTTACGATAGTCGTAGCGCTTCGAGGGCTTTGTAAAACGGGGCCCAGGGCCATGTTCCAGAAAGCGTTCTTAGTTAATCTTAACTCCTTTAACACAGGCCTTCAAGAACCCCAGCGCTAACATCGCTTCGTAAGGCGACGGTTTATGCCGATGTTCACTCTATCGTCCACTAGTTTGCCTTGGTATACGTAACGAACCAGCGTGATATAGCATTTACTCACTGGATTACGTGGCTGGATTACTGGACAGACATCGCAATGACCGTAACACAGCTGTGTAACACATTCTTTGCAGATGTTTAACAAAATCGCTGTGGGCGCATTCAACTGGCTTACGAATACTTCACTGGTGCTTTGTCAGTTTGGTTTGACTGAATAAGTATATATGAAATAATATATCAGCTCCAGTCGACAAACCAGGCACCAGTAATCGCCAGTACAAATTCATAAATGCAGTAGTGTATGATATCTAATAACATTTTTGTACTTCAGGCATAAAAACATCTCAACTAATGAAATGATTTCATTTATGATATTTTTACGGTTTTTGCAGCTTATGACGTGATTTGAAAAGTTAATATATTTGTAAGGAATGACACCACTATTCTTATTCATGTCCTAATTTGTAGACACTGTATGATTAATACTATCTGGCTCGATTTACAAATGAGACACAGGAGTAAGCCAGCAGTCGGTCTTATAAAGAATGGTTATGAATATATGCTTTATGGTAATAAATGAGTCGGCTAGCAGGGCTGCATAAAACGTTCAATATAATCGCCAGTGGTACCATGGTAACACACTGGTATGAAGTTAAAAGACATCGTTGCCATTCTTCATTACCTACAGAGGAAATAGATTTAAATAAAAAAAAGACATGTCGCCCACATATGGTTAGTTCCATGCATTTCAAATTAAAGAAAATCAAGAGTTTTACATATGAACAAGACAATGATTTTAACCCCCAAGCAACAACTTCTCTAACATTTAAATTATTATCTGTAACAGACTTGAGGCTTCTGGAAATGTCAGGAGTTTGCTGGCTTTGATTTGTTAAAGACGTGTAATAGTGACTTCCTTTAGGTCTCAAGTTTAACACTGGCGTTGTTGTTACTTACTTGATTGTAGTTTGGTTGTGTGTGGCTTCATTGTGCTAGTGTGATATCAGAGTCACTTATCTGTACAACAGGATCTTTACAGAATGAACGCTTGAGTGAGTGAGTGAGTGAATGAGTGAGTGAGTGAGTGAATATGGACGCGCGCTTTCAGCAATATTCCAGCAATAGCACGGCAGGAGACACCAACAATGGACGTTAGCTATAGTAAACGCATGAGTTGTACAATGCGAATCGTTAAATGCGTTAACAGAAATGACAATCTGTAGTTTTTACAAATGTTTCTTGATCTTCCTCCATTCAATGTTCAAAATCAATATAGCAATTCCGAGAGGATCAGGTCGTTTGTCAAGGCCTTATAATGGCCATGCATTGCAGGTGAACCGTTATCATGACATGTGTAGAGACGTCTTGAAGTATCCCCGAGTACTGGCGCACTCAGAGGAAGTGTTCTCGGTACCTGTAATTACGTAATACGTTACAACACAGTTGTAGAACCACTCTTTCATATTGGTTTACATTCTAACCCAAACACAGAAAGTGTTAAACCGTCATACATTTATTAATTTATTATATTTTCTAAATATTTTTCCACTGCTGGTGTATCTAGATTGCAATATTCACAAAGGTTTATTGCATTATATATAAAATGAAATATTCTGAATTCGGACTTATCCGGGCTGCCTATTTCTTGTGTTAGACTAAAGACACAGATATACGGTATATTCTACTCAACCATAACATGGGCACCTAATGATTTAGCCTCTGGGTACTCCTTACACAGGCGGAGTGTCAGGTATTAATAAAACACTAAGGTTGCATCAAAATAATTTCTCTGGCCACATTTGTACCCAAAAGAGACGAGGAAGGTCTCAGTTTTCTCATTTTATCGAAAACAAAACTAATGAGGGAAGAATACGTATTTTCCCCAACCAACAAACACATCTGAACTCAGCACATTAATATAATGTCAGTCGAGAAATGTTCCCGTTTTAGCCTAACAGACAGACAATATTTAATTCACTACCATAGATGTTCGATGGGTACAAGAACAGGTAAACATCTTGGGAACAATGCCAGCTTGTGAGGTCTTGCAGTGTTCTGCAAGATGGACTCTGGTCTAATGAAGTTCAGAGTAACATGTGGATAAACAATGTCATCTATGTATGTTGCTGTGACAATTGCTGTGAACATTGAACTGGGGAATTCTATAATGACTGCAGTCTCCCCGGGTCATTAGACCACCAAGTCGGTGTCTCACGCACTGTGGCATCTAGATACGGTTCATCTTGGTGTCTGAGGACACGAATCGTTAGTAAGCTAAAGACGTTAGCTCGACTCATCAGGGAACAGTACTTGCAACCATTGCTGCTTATGACGACATTCTGACCCGTGAAGTCCGGGTTAGAATATAGGCCTTCAGTAACCCCTGTTTGTCGTAAGAGGCGACTAACGGGATCGGGTGATCAGGCGCGCTGACTTTGTTAACACATGTGATCGGTTCCCAATTGCGCAGATCGATGCTCATGCTGTTGATCACTGGATTGTCTGGTCCAGACTCAATTATTTACAGACCGCCGCCATCATAGCTGGAAATTTGCTGGGAGCGGCGTAAAACTAAACTCACTCACTCACTATTAGAACATTCTGGATGAGGGCACTCGATCGACTGGACGAACTGGTCATATAGCTGGACACAGGCCGTATATTGGCAGGTCGATGGCTTGGATACCGACGGGTGTAACCCGTGATGATCCCGGTTAAAATGGCCTTCAGCTACCTATGACTGTAAGAGGCGACCGACAGGATCGGGTCCTCGGGCTGATGCTTGTCATGGGTATCCTGCTTAGGATGTCAATCACTAGGGTGTCTAGTCCAGACTAGAATATTTACAGATCGCCATCAGATATCGTTGATGTTGCTGAATGCGACGTTAAACAAAACCCCAACAAAATAAACAAACAAAACGACGTTAGTGTGGCTGGCAGTCCGCAGGTGTAGTCTCGAGCGAGCTCGAGGCGTGGGGCACCACATAACGACCGCATGCTCAGTATGATCTACCTCAGGTCTATCGGAACGTGGCTTGCAACCTGACGGTTGTATGGAATCACCTGTGGATGGCGGAGGGCAACTCTCCCACGCATATGTTATGACGGGACTTGCCCAGTCCCCTCTCCGTGATTGCATGGTTTTGCAAACTAGTATATTTAGAGTATGTATAGCTAATGTTGGTGTCAGATGACCAAAAACCAACACCTCCCTGTTTTGCATTTGGTTAAAGTGAGAAGGGGGCGTACATTCAGTTGTTTCATGAATATTGACTTTTGCTTTGCCGAATCTCCGGATCATACAATCAGTCAAAACTTGGCGTAAAGCATATAAGCAATTACACCCATGGGCTTATTTGCGACTCTTAGAGAACTGCCCTATTCTGCTCAGTTCTCTCAACCTCGGGACAATATCTTCATTACCTACGGAGTGTCCCAATTCTTTTTTTGATGAGCATATGTAAACTATCTCCAATGGCGCGGACAGAAAAGCATGTCTGTAGTCAAGTAGGTTTTTATTTCCTAAACCAATTACCCTGAAAAGCATTAACATCGATCAAATTGCCGTGGGTTGTCTTCCCGAGTTTTGCTCGAATTGCTCCACTCAGATGTCCCCAAGAAGTCAGTCAGTGCACCTGCGTAAAAACTGCGAAGCACAACACGTTTGTGTGAGACATAGGCAATAGACATGGATTAAACCGTTCCTGACAGGTGATTGATTGAAACTTACCCTCGCAGTGCTCGGTAATTGAGCATGCGTGTTCACCGGCCATATACCCGCACATCGCGCCGTTAAATATTGGGTAACTGATAATTAACGTCAGTGTGGCACTGGCCAGACGCTGGTGCTGCAGCAGGGATCCAGTCTCGCCGTAGGTAAGGAAACAAGCCATTTCCACACTTCCTGCAAATAGATCATTTAGAAATTATGACATTGTTTCATTTATCGGTCAACGAGAAGACGAATCTTATACGTTAATGTTGTTAGGTGATGATTTTGAAGCAGCCCGTTGCAATGATAATG